ATTTTTTTTTTACCTTTATTACGCCGTGAAGATTTATTTTTTAACCCGTGAATGTTGAAGGTCCCATTTTTACAATTTTATTTTTAATAAATTTATTTTATATTTATATATATATTTTGAAAAATTTAAAAATATTTTTATTAATTTAGCATGAGGATTCGTTTTTTAATTTCTTTCACTTTTACTTTTGTGTAAATTGACATCTCTACCCTTGCCCTTCCTTTGTCTTTTCCTGACCGTTCTATTTCTGTCCATTGTTTATCATCTGCCCAAAGACGTCAGCTAACAGTGGGCTCACTTCCTCATTTGACCTAGAAACTTCTTTTTCTTTGATTTAACAAATTATTTTTAGATTATATATTTATATAATATTTTTAGGAATTTATGGACTAACTTTTGGAAAGTTGTGAATTTATGAATATTACAAATAGATATTTCTAAAATTATTTAATTTTGATAATCCTCATCCCTCCTTCTTCACCTCCCCCTTTCTCTCCCTCCAATCGCAAGTTAAAAATGGCGCCGAGAGTCTAGAGCCTAATACAGCTGGTCGCATCAGAAGGAATCTGCCAAGCTTTCATGGCCTTCCAGATTGAACCTCCCAACGACCACCACGAACACCGCCCGATTAAATTCATTACCCACTTTTTCAATTCCGCTACCTCCAATTTCTGCGCCCTTTTCGCCAATCCTCAATCAATTCCGCCATTTTCCCTGCAACCATCCTCTTCTCGTCTATGCATTCCGGTCGCATTCCCTGTCCCTCGAAAACCCCCTTTTCTCACCCATTCACGTTTTGATTCTACTCATCCTGACCTCGACTCCTCCAAATCTGCGCCTGTTAAGGGTTTGTCTTCATCGCCCGAGTTCGGTTCCGGTTTTCCGTCGACGCTTAGGATTTCAAGTCTTAATTCTAATGGAAAAGCTGGCGGCCCTGCGTTTGTTGGCCAGGTCTTCAGTATGTGCGACCTTTCTGGGACTGGTCTTATGGCAGTCTCGACGCACTTCGACATTCCTTTCATTTCCAAGAGGTTCTCTCCCTATCTCTGCTAGTTTAAGATTGAATCTGTAATTGTTTTATCACTAGACCACCCTTCATGATTGGTTTAGATTGATAATTATATGTTGTAAGGGAGGTGAGATTGAAGCTAGGTTTGAGAGGGTAACAAGTAACATGTTGGTTTAATTTTCCGTTCGATGGAATCTGGTTGATTATATGTACGCTCCAGGCACAATCTATTCCAATTTAATGACTGTTATCATTATGATGTTGGCTTTATAATCCCTTGGATTTTTTCAATTTTGCTTAATTATTTTTAGTTATTGAAACTGAAGAAAATTGCAATGCTGCTATCGACTATTAGTACTGTTCTGAGTGAAGCCATCTCTTATTTGTCTATTCCAGAACTCCAGAGTGGCTTAGGAAGTTGTTCTCAACCATTACTAAGAGTGAAAGAAATGGCCCTATATTCCGCTTCTTTACTGATTTAGGTGATGCAGGTATTGGCTCATTTAATTTTGATGTTTTTGCTACTCTTTATCCTCGTTTCTTTGGCAGTATTTATGGACTTCTAGATTCTAGACTTCCAAATGCATTTGGAACAAACTACATTTAAGGATAAGAAATTTTGAAGCAAGCATTAGCTTGTATCTATTTTCCAATGTAAGCAACTTATCTTGACACTTGTTAAAAATCATTTCAAACCATTGAAATTTCACACCTATTCTGTTTTCTAACAGTTGCTTTACGATTCTGGAAAACCTGTTTGTCTTGGAGCATCTCCTTCGAGTTTTGTCATTGTTTTCCATGTTTTAGTATCTTAATATTGACTGCTCAATTTTACTTCATCCATTAGCAGTGCGTCCTGACTCAAATTTTTTTTCTTCTTAGTTACATATGTTAAGCGATTGAATATTCCAAGTGCTGTGGTGGGTGCATGTCGTCTTGATTTAGCATACGAGCATTTCAAGGTATTAAATTTAGTGTCGGTGGACCAATCTTAATTTATTGGTTGGAATATATCTTTCAAAATTTCTGTGTAGTCAGGTTCCTTTTCTGTTTATCCCATGCTCATTTAAATTGCCTATATAGTGATTGCATACTCTTTTTATAGTGGTATAGGTAGCTATGGTTTGATTTATTTGTGTTCTATGAGCAATTGTCATATAATCACATTGTGAGTAAATTAATCACATGTACAGGTTACCTTGATTTCACATACGACCTTCTGATGTTATTGCTTCATTTGGTTGGAGAGTTTAAGTGGTTTGATTGCCATTTTGTATGGAAGGCAGGGATCCCAAGAATGAAAAATCTTTTTTCAATGAACTATGTATTTTGAAGGTCTGAATACAGCTAAGAAGGTTAAAAAAATGATGCCCCAACATTAGTCTTCAACTGAACTGGTGTTTGTTATGCCATAAAGCTGAAGAAAATGTTGGAAACTTGTTTGCACACTGCTGGTACGGTGAAAATGTTGGGAATTTTTTTTTTGGAACAATTCCATATCCTGGGCTATGGGACGAACAGCCAACAAAAATTTTAATCCAATTCTTGTCTGGCCATAGATGGAGTCATGGACAAGGAATATATTGTGGTTAAATGAAGTAAAGGCATTTCTTATTGAATATTTGGGTGGAACAGAATTCTAGAATTTTTAATGGAGTAAAAGGGGTCAGAGGAATTGATTTTTTTAAAGATTTGTACTTCTGCGCATTCTTTGTTTAACTCTTTCTTTAATTTTTCTTCTTTTGAGAAAAAAAAAAACATTCTCTCTAACAAAAATATGTCATTGATTCATTTTGACATTTTGTTCATGAGAGTGTATAACCATAAGATACTGTGTTTCATTATGCATACCTAATTGGGTTGGCTATGTAAACAATAAAGGATTTAAAGGGAGTAGGTTCAAGCCATAGTAGCCACCTACTTAGGATATAATATCCAACGAGTTTCCTTCGCAACCAAATGTGTAGGGTTAGACTGTTGCCCTGTGTGAATAGTCAAGATTCACACAAGCTTGTTCAAATACTCACGAATGTCAGAAAAATAAAATAAAATTATACAAACTTTTTTGGTTGTTGAACTAACGCATGGTTGTACTAAATTTTCCAGGATCTGTTGAAGATGTGCTACTTGATTTTTGGACATTGTTTTCCATGACCTAACTTCTGAAGTTACTTGTATCATGCAGGAAAAACCTCATTTATTTCAGTTCATTCCAAATGAGAAGCAAGTATGATTTTTCTTATCTGAAGCAAGAAACTTTCATAAATACAAAAATATATAAAAAAATGTTACGAGGATCAGGCATGCTAGTCAAATCCATCAGCTAGAATGTCATGACAGTTACTCGTGCCCTTAGCCATTGAATGGTTTTCTAACGTATAGGTTAAAGCAGCAAACAAGCTTCTTAAAGGCCTACCTGAGAATGGTGGGAGCAAAAAGATTGATGGTGTTCCTGTTTTCAGTGCCCAGAACTTGGATATTGCAATAGCAACTACTGATGGGGTACAGTGGTATGTCATTTTCTCATGTTAGTTATGTAGTTTTTGCTACAATGAGTTAGTACATTGTTACAACTTGTAAAAGCTGGTCCTTAACATATCATATATTCACTATATGACTTCAAAAATCAAAAGGTGTTCTTTCTTTTGCTTTTGCCTGTAAGAACGGCCATTGTTAATATTTACTAATTACCGTAGGGAGTGTGTTTGTAAGACAATATGAGATGGGTTGAGGAGGGTAGCTTAGTTAGAAGACGATATGGAAAAGCATGCAGAGAAGAGATCTCTTAAAGGAAGAATACTTGCACAAGATAAATTGGTATCTTCAAAAAGAATTATCCTTCTCATTTACAATTTTTTTTAAAAAAAAAACAAAGATTTGTTTTAGTTCATTACTTTATCACCAACAAAACCCCCTTATGTGAGGATCAAATAATAGCTTTCTTTTCCCTTTCCTTGGCTCTTTTTCTGTTTTTAAATTGCTAATTAGGTTCATTTAATAGGACGACTGGTTTGGGATAATCCATCTCCTCTTTTTTTATGATCTCTCACTATTAATATAATTCTCAGTTTCCTTTCCTCTTTTTCTTTTTTGTTGCATGATCGTTGCTTTTCTCTGATCATTTTTCTCGATCTGCTCAATAATTTTTGGAAGTTTTTCTCGGCATATTTTATCTTTGGTATTTTCATTTTGTTATTCAGGTACACTCCTTATTTTTTTGATAAAAACATGCTCGATAATATTCTTGAAGAATCTGTTGATCAGCATTTTCATGCTTTAATTCAAACTCGGCGTTTGCAGCGCCGAAGGGAAATAACTGATGATAATGCAGCAGCAGAAGTGTTTGAAGAGATGGGCGATAGTTTGTTGGAGCCTCCAGAGGTATGATATTCAATAGTCTGCTATAATTCTTGAACATTTTATAGTGAGGAGGTACTGGGTATTTAATTTATTTCTTAAGACCCAGCATTTTGATGACCTTTCTAATTCTTGAGCGCAAACTGGGACTAGCTTCTTATCTTACAATGTCTGGCAGCGAGGGAACTTATGGAATATCATAGGAACCATCTCAAGAACATACCCTAATTCTATTATAGCCTTTTGAGAAGGCTATCTCTCTCCCACAAACTAATTCCCATAATTTTACCTACCCTATATTCCCTAACACCCTCTATTTGTAACCGTCAATGCAAATCAACTTCTCAGTAATTACAAATACGTTAGTGCTGATCTTCCTAATAATATTCCCACCTTTTCCCTATTATAATTTTTGCAAAACATCGAGATCCTGTTTATGTGACCCCAAAGTATTGAATAGCCTTCTTTTAGGTGGCGGTGGTTGGTTGGGTCGTATTTGGCTTGAATATTTCCATTTTCCTTTCAATGGTAAAAAGGAATAATGCATTTTTTTAGTTCCCTTCCATAGCTCTAAGTAAACATCAGATAAAAAAAAGGCTGTAAACATATATGGGAGGTATGCTATATTTTTTTAAGAAGGGAAACAAATTTCAATGATAAATGAAATAAAAACGAGTGTAACCTCCAACCCCTAGAGGTATTACTAGAAGGAACAAGTTGCTTTATAAAAGAAAATATATCAATAAACTTTTATGAAATGGTTTCATGGGATTTAGTCAATTGTTTTGATTGTGGAATATCATTCAGAAATAGGAATCCCAAATTTAGAAGTTAGAAGATAAGCTATAATTAGAAAAAGGGTGTTTACATTTACACCAACACAATGCATGAAAAAGAATTAAGTCCATAAAAGTATCAAAATTGGAGAAAGAATCCTTAAATATTCTTCCGTTCCTCTCGCCCAAAGAAACCATAGGAAAGTTATGTTTAATGCAAGCCACAAAACCTTCTTGACTCCATGGAAAGGATGACCCACAAAAGTTGAGGCTAGAAAGTCATAAATGTCGTTAGGCTAACTTAGAGTTGCCAAAAGCATGAAGGATCATGTTTCAAAATTTCGTAGCAAAGGAACAATGGCCAAAAAGATGTCATTCACAAATGGAAGAACACATAGCACACCTGATGGAGATGGATAAATATGAGGCCTTTGCATTACATCCGTAGTATTGATTGCTTTAAGGCTAAGCATCCAAAGAAAAATTTTAATTTTTTTAATAAAATTATTTCAAATCACCTCATAAAGATTATGGTTATGTAATGCATGATTTGTTGTATCCACAAGATCTCTCATAAGAGATTTAACAGTAAATGAACGAGAACTGGTTTGCTGCAATTTATTTTGATGATGCCCACTTTGGCTGCAATCTTAAATAACGGAAGATGGAATGTTAGAATGGTTGAAAGAACTGGTTGTGCCAAGTTTATTCAGCCTTTTTTTAAAAAAAATCTATTTTGAAGTTAAAACGGAGGTTTTTTTTTTTCTTTTTTCTTTTTTAACTTGTTTGGCTTGTTAGAAGGATAATGGCTTATACTCCCACTTTGTATACTTTTCTGGGTTCTGAAAATTATTATCCTTGGATTGACTACTGAGCAGTGTTCACCTACATTCACTGTCTCACATATTCTTCCCTATTAGGTTCAAGAAGTGATGGATGAGATGGGCAACCTTGGAATACCCTTGAATGTCATCTCTAAGGTTGCTGAAATGCAGCTTCTTTATACTGTTGATAAAGTAATTCTTGGAAATAGGTGGTTGCGTAAGGCTGTTGGCATTCAACCCAAATTCCCTTACATGGTCGATTCATTTGAGAGAAGGTACGTGACCAGGTTTCTATGAACCAAACAATTCAAACGAACAGGTTTAATGTAATTTTTTTTTCTTTCTTAGGAGTGCTGCTTCTCTCTTAAGAATCTCAGAGTCTGCAAGTGGTCTTACCAACTCTAAATCGGTGAAGGAGACCAAAGAACTTCAGTATACTAGTTCATCACCTGTAGATATTCAAGATAATATGGAAGCCAATCAAGAACCTAAACAACATTCCTTCAATCCTTTTAGAAATTTGTTTAGTCATCTGTGGTCAAGGCGACGTCAAAGAGACGACTTGCCTCAGGAACAGGCAAAGCAAAATGTGCAGCCAAGTCCTTTTCTCCCCAAAATAACAATGGTTGGCATCTCTACTGGTGAATCAGGACACATGAGTAAAGCCAATTTAAAAAAGACAATGGAAGATTTGACTAGAGAGCTAGAGAATGTGGATCAGGGAAATGCTGCTAATCATAATGAGTACGAACTCAACAATGAAGAAAGGGATCCATTATTTGTTGCAAATGTTAGTCATTTCAGCTCTGGCTTGGCAAAGGCAGGTTCAGCACGGTGGGTTCGGGGAAATGATTAGAGGACCTTTCTAACATTTTGCATCTGAATAACTTTCTCCACAACTAAATTTCTCCCAGATGCGGAGAGCAGGATGTGAAGTTATGGCATACTTCCCTTACCGGGGGGTAGCTTTTCAGTTTGCCAAATGTAAAATGAGACTTGCATTTCATATCCGGTGCTGTGTATGTTACTAGTTGCATAGATAGATCGAAAATGGTATGTGTGTGTTATATCAACAGAATGAAATGCAAAAGAGGTAGAAGGAAAGACCCCTCTTATTTTTTTCAGACAATTTTGAGCAATAATGAGATGGGAATTTTGGCTTTTAAGAACAAGAAGTTGAATGTATAAATACAAATCTTTAACTCAAGGATTTACCTTTCATGATCTTCAATAAGCTGCAGGATCAGTAGTCTGCAATTTTGGATCAACAATCATGACAGAACCAAGCAGTGAGAGGAAGAGAGGCTGTTGCTTGTAAGTACTACAAACCTTTGTTTTGCCTACTCTTCTCTGTTCTCTAATCTACATGGTTCCAAAATTGCAATGATTGTTTGTTCAATTTCAGTGGTCCATCTATTCATGTTTTGTTGGAAATGTTCTGTTAGCTTCCACACATAATGGATTTAAAAGAATGTCTGAAAGATTAGATATTGCCTCCTTTTTATGGACAAGCATTTACTGAAACTTGCTATGTTCATGAGTAGTGATGGCCTTGTCCCAGCATTGGCTACAAGATGACGGCGTTGGATGCATCAAAGCAGCAGAATTTGCCATGTTAAGGAGAGAGCAGTCCGGAGAACAGCAAAAGCAAAGCAAAGCAATGATAGCTGAAAGAATGAGGTATGGAATTGTTCGTAGTGGGTTTGCTTTGTTTTGTTAGTGGATTTAATGCCATTCATATCCTTTTCAATAGTGTTCTGCACTTCTTACAGTGGCTCATATTAAAGCTTCTGGTCTGTTTTTCTTTATGTTATGACTGAGATTAGAAGTACTTTTTGTTATTATTATACATCCAAATTATTAGCGGGTCTGCTATCTGGTGGATTCGATCCACGTAGGTTGGCCTAGTAGTCAACTAGAGTCCTACAAATAATAGAAAACTCGACGGGTATAGATCTAAAGTCATTGTGACTACCTACCTAGAATTTAATACCCTATGAGTTACTTTGAAAACCAAATCTAATAGGTTGTCTTTCGGGACTGGTCGAGATGTTTATGACTGGCTAAGAACTTGCGAATCTCCGAGAAAAAAAAAACAATCTACCATGTTCAGTTCAACAAACTTTACGTACATGGGGAACATTTAAGCGGGTTAAGGTAAAAAATTGTCAAATTATCATAAACATATGAACCAACTTATTTAATAATAAAGTTCTGATTCAACCGATAGGAACATGCCTAATTACAAATAGAAAGTTTTACTGTTTTCTTTTCAAGTGCCATTTTGGAATATTTATCTAAAAATAAATTACACCAAAATCAACTAATTTTGACAGAAGAAGTCATGTTTGTTTGTGATGAATTACTTAACAGCTAAAATAATAATACCTTAAAACAGCAAAATATCAATTATTTATTTTTATGTTCTTGAAACTGTTTTAAAATTTTTGCTATTTCTAGAGTATGTTTGTCTTTACGGTTTAGGGAATATTTCTTTTTTCTGCCAAATAATAATATTAATATTTTTTAAAAATATGATTAGAATTGAGCCATAACTTGGATGATATTCCTGCCATTCGAGTCCCGATAGAGCTAAATCAACTATACATTGATAATTGGGACTAACGATCCTTTGTCGGGTCTTTAACATTCTCATATTAAACAATAATCTATACTTAAAACTCATCTATGAACTATTTGTTCATCGTACCATGTTGTCAGCGTGATTTATGGTTGGGATTAAGTAGGACGATGATTTTAATATCCAATTTTAGTTGCCTCACTCACTCTTTTTAAATTCTTCCAATTAATTTGGCGTCCGATATATTTATTGCAAGAAAAGAAAATAATTAGTATATTTAATGTTGAAATTGATTGTAAATCCATTTATTATTTGTTTAGGGTTTGCTGGTACACATATTTAAATTCTTAAATGAAGTTAATATAAGTTGTTGTCCTAAATTATTTATTGTTAAAACGTGAGTATCAAGTTTCGAGAGATATTATTCAACTTTGCATGTTGGAGTTATTTATTAATTCTAATTATGCATATTTATTGCAATATTTTTAATTGTATCTTTTTCAAAATAATAATAGACAAATTAATTTGATAGGACTATGATGAGATCATTTTTACAATTTTCTAAGTTTTTTTTTTTTTTTTTTTTTTTTTTTTTTTTTTTTTTTTTTTTTTTTTTTTTTTTTTT